CTCCCGAGTAGCTGGGATTACAGGCACGCACCACTACGCCCAGCTAATTTTTGTATTTTTAGTAGAGCCGGGGTTTCACCATGTTGGCCAGGCTGGTCTCGAACTCCTGACCTCGTGATCCGCCCGCCTCAGTCTCCCAAAGTGCTGGGATTACAGGTGTGAGGCACCGTGCCCAGCCGCTCCCACACATTTCTAAGCCCTCTTGAAATTAACTTTGGGTAATGGTCTGTGAGAGGAAGTAATGTATGTCACTTCTGGATGGAAGTATTTAAGAACCAGGGCTGGGCCCTCCAACTATCTTCTTCCCATCATGATGGATCCAGAAGTTGTCTGTTGAGATGGTGGAATGATAAGAGAAAAAGCTGCTTGAACCAGAGTCACCTTATGGAGGCGAAGCGCCTGGCAGAGTCACCCTGCCCACACTAGTCGTTGCTTAGAGTTGAGCATGAAGCCATGGGATGGGAGTCACTGCTCAGAAGGACGTTTTTTCTAGTGCTGTGGCCTGGAGAACTTTCCCTGTAGCCTCTCATGCAGGTGTACTGTGAGATGTGGTGGGTCTCTTTGCTAAGGGGAAGCCACAGCAGGTGCAGCAGAGCCGGGGGCCTCCTGACCCAAGCACATCTCCACAGCTCGCTGTAGTCAGTACGTAGCTCTCTTGGTGGTGTCTGACTAGCGGAGCGTTAAGCCCTTAGCCTAAAGGAGCATCTTGGGCAACCTGGTGTGCCTGTCTGGAGCAGCAGGCATAATACGATGTCAGGCCAGCATCAAAGGATTTTGTCTTCCTTATAAGACAACATGGGGCAATAAAAAGCTCTGTATGTGCAATCTTGTAAATGGTGTAATAATTGTGATGCTTTTATAGACACTGCATGACAGACAGTCCTTTGTCACTGTAGCAATAGGATCTAATTATTACTGACTTGTTCATATTGTGGGTTTTTAATGACCCGACTGCCCACCTTCTAGAATTTAAACATACACTGTGAATATCCAGGCATAGGTCACAGAGATGACCTAGAGTTGGTGCTCAATACACTTTTTTTTGTTTTGTTTTGTTTTTTTGAGAGGGAGTCTTGCTCTGTCACCCAGGCTGGAGTGCAGTGGTGAGATCTTGGCTCAGTGCAACCTCTGCCTCCCAGGTTCAAGCGATTTTCCTGCCTTAGCCTCCTGAGTAGCTGGGATTACAAGCGTGCACCACCACACCCAGCTAATTTTTGTGTTTTTAATAGAGACGGGGTTTCACCATGTTGGCCCGGCTGGTCTTGAACTCCTGACGTCAAGAGATCTGCCTATTTTGGCCTCCCTAAGTGCTGGGATTACAGGTGTGAGCCCCTGGGTCCGGCCTTAATACACATTTGATTGACACCAGTCTTAAATGCATAGCAATGACCTAACGTCAAGGTGAAATGCAAGCAGCGCTTCGGAGGGAATGACCAATATGGTGTCCTCTGAGGCCTCAGCCCAGGAGCCATCTGGCCCATCTCATTAGCACCATTGTTCCTGTCAGCTTGTGGAAGAGCTAGTTTGAAACCTCTTGTTGGACAGAAGGAAGGCACTGACCAAGACCTGTTATGTGGGTGAAGCTGTCGCCCAGAGCACCCCCGTGGCTCTCTGGTCCTCCATGTGCTAGTAGAAACTCAGTTTTTGCTGAATGGCATAGCTCACTACTAGCTGAATGTAGGGTGACAGTAGCCAGCATGAGAACCACCAAGACCATTGTGAGCCAGGAGTTGAGTCACCCCTTCCTTGTCTAGGGTTGCAACAAGAAGTGACAGAGGGGGTCCCACAAGATCTTTACATCTCCCTCTGTAAGTTGCGGGAACTACAGTAATTTGCTTGGTCCTTAGTTCCATTTTATAGAACCTGAGTCTAAAAAATGGGTGAAGTAATATTTCTCTAAACAGGTTTATCGTACAAATCAAAAGAAAGAAATTGTAGAAAGTACCTACCCGGGGGCTTGGCACGCAGAAGGTGTTGAGTGAATGCTGGCTACATTGCGTGGCTCCTGCTTAGTGAGCCTGCGTAAACACAGTGCTGTGTAGACTAGGCAGGCCTTTCTGTCTTCTGCAATTCTGAGCACTTTTTCTTAAGAACCAAGGGTACCAACCCTTGTTTTAGAGACATTCAAAAACTAGGGCCAGGTGTGGTGGCTCATGCCTGCAATCCCAGCACTTTGGGAGGCGGAGGTGGGTAGATCATCTGAGGTCGGAAGTTCAAGACCAGCCTGACCAAATAGAGAAACCCTGTCTCTACTAAAATACAAAATTAGCCAGGCATGGTGGCACATGCCTATAATTACAGCTACTCGGGAGGCTGAGGCAGGAGAATCGGTTGAACCCAGGAGGCAGAGATTGCAGTGAGCCAAGATCACGCCATCGCACTCCAGCCTGGGCAACAAAGGGAGACTCTGCCTAAAAAAAAAAAAAAAAGAACCAAGGATACTAACTCTTGTTTTAGAGGCGTTCAAAAACTAGCCAGGCATAGTGGTATGCACCTGTAGTCCTAGCTCCTCGGGAGGCTGAGGTGGGAGGATCACTTGAGCCTGGGTGAGGGAGGCTGTGGTGTCCCATGATTGTACCACTGCACTCCAGCCTGGACAACAAAGCAAGACCCTGTCTCAAAAATAAATAAAAATAAATAAATAAATTTAAACAAGGAAATAGAAAATGTTTATACTGAAAACTACAAAACATTGCTGAAAGCAAATAAGATGTATAAGTGGCAAGATACTCAGTGTTCCTTGATTGGAAGACTTAATATTATTGCGTCCCAAAGCAATATCGTCAGTACAATCCCTATCAAAATTCCGATGGCTTTTTATGCAGACATGGGAAAGATGATCCCAAATTCAAATGGAACTGCAAGGGACCCCACATAGCCAAAACAGTCTTGCAAAAGGAGAACAAAACTGGAGAACTCATACTTCCTTGTTTCAGAACTTTCTACAAACTACAGTATTCAAGCCAGTGTGATACTCTCATGTGTAAGACATATAGATCATATAGATCAGGGGAAGGAACTGAGAGTCCAGAAATAAAACTCACATCTATGATTTACTGATTTTTGACAGGAGAGCTAGTACCATTCAGTGGGGGAGAGAATAGTCTCTTCAGCAAATGGTGCTGGGACAGCTGCTTGTTCACATTTAAAAAAATGAAGCTGGATCTTTACCTTGTACCATATACAAAAATCAATTCATGATGAATCAGATACCGAAATATAGGAGCTGAAACTGTAGCGCTCTTAAAGAAAAGGTGGGTTGTCTTCATGACCTTGGATTTGGCAATGGTTTCTTAGCTAGGACACCAAAAGCACAAGGAACAACAAGAAAAAGATAAATTGGACTCAAAAAATTGCAAACTTTTCTCTATCAAAGGACACTATCAAGACAATGAGAAGAATTCTCATATGGGATAAAAAGTATTTGCAAATTATATGTCTGATAAGGGTCTGGTATCTAGAATATGAAAAGAACTCTCATAATTCAACAACAACAAAACAAGCCAATTTTAAAAACGATGAAGGACTCGAATAGATATTTTTGCAAAGAACATATATAAATGTCCAGCAAGCCCATGAAGAGCTGCTCCACATCATTAGTCACCAGGGAAATGCAAATCAAATTCAATTCAAAACCAGGAGAAATGAGATACCAGTTCACACCTACTAGGACGGCTATTAAAAGTAAGCAGACAGACAAAAACAATACAAAAAATAGTGCTGGCAAGGATGCGGAGCAGTTGGAGCCCTCATATGTTGCTGATGGGAATGTCAAGTAGTGCATCCAGCCGGGCGCGGTGGCGCGTGCCTGTAGACCCGGCTACTCGGGAGGCGGAGGCGGGAGGATCGCTTGAGCGCAGGAGTTCTGGGCTGTAGTGCGCTATGCCTATCGGGTGTCCGCACTAAGTTTGGCATCAGCATGGTGACTTCCGGGGAGCGGGGGACCACGAGGTTGCTAAAGGAGGGGTGAACCGGTCCAGGTTGGAAACTGAGCAGGTCAAAACTGCCATGCCAATCAGTAGTGGGATCGCGTCTGTGAATAGCCCCTGCACTCCAGCCTGGTCAACATAGCCAGACCGTGTCTCTTTAAAAAAAAAAAAAAAAAAGCATCCACTGTGGTAAACAGTTTGGCATTTCCTCAATACATTAAGTGTAGAATTAACTTCTGCCCAACAATTCTGCCTCTAGTATACACCCAAGAGAATTGAAAACAGATATTCAAACAGATTCTCATACACAAATGTAGCAACATTATTTATGTATTTAGTTTTTAATTTATTTTTTGAGATAAGAGTCTTGCTCTGTCACCCAGGCTGGAGTGCAGTGGCACCATCTCAGCTCACTGCAACCTCTGCCTCTCAGATTCAAGCATTTCTCCTGCCTCAGCTTCCCAAATAGCTG